TCTCTCTCTCTCTCTCTCTCTCTCTCTCTCTCTCTCTCTCTCTCTCTCTCTCTCTCTCTCTCTCGGGGGTGGGGAAGGTGCGCGCGGCGTGGGGCGGGCTTCATGCTCAACTTCGCTCGACTTCGATGCTATTTGGAGGTCGCCCACTGGCACGCACACACACACCCGTGCACCCACGAACGCGCCCGCCCATCTGTCCACGATCTGATTCGGGCAAGTGCCGCTCGGTTTCGTCTTTGGGGAAATGCTCCAAGATGCACGCCTAGCAATACGGCCGCTCGAATGTTTCGTATTGAGAGCTCCAATGCTAATCAGATGGACATTGAATACTTTATTTAAATGTTATACCCCTCATACTCTTGGCCTTCGTTTGCAAAATTTTCTGTTTTCTTTGCAGGCAGAGCCGCAGCAGGTAAGCTAGTGTACTAAGACTGCATTGAAAGGTCTTGTGATCCAAAAGACTTTGAAATGAGGACCAAGTTGATTGTGGGTGGCACCAACACTGCATAGCTTCGAACAAAGCATACAATCCCTGTCTGTATGTGGATGGCAAGTCTCTCGGAAGGCAAACTTCCTACTGCAAAACTTCCCAGGTTTCAGTCCATTCCCATCATCTTCCCAAAACAAAAACGATGAGGAACATCCAGTTGGGCCGTCTTGCACATAATGAAGAGGAGCTTGAACGAGCCTGGTACGCAGTAAGAGGTCCAATGACTTGCCAATGTGTCAGTAACGAGCCTGGTACGCAGAGTATAGACTAGCCCCCCCCCATAAGGCCGTGATTCAAGTGAAGAAAGAAAATTTGAACACAATCGTGTTTTTTTCTTGTTTCTGCTGTGTCTGTTGGTATATGTCATTGCTGTTTTTGCATTCACTCATCCTATGCCCGCCGGCGGGCCCACGAGGGAATCGGGACAGGATCCACGAAAGAGGACCTATCCTAATTCCCACTGGCGAGCCCACAAGAGAACCCGGACAGTGACCAGGGTAGATAACGACCTCCCACAGTACCAGGCTTTGTAATCGAAGACAGTTATATTTTTGGACTACAATTGTATTTTAACAAGTGCTCAAATTATTCTTCTGTTGGTCTTTGTTTCCGGTGCATCTGCTGGTAAACACCATTGCTCCTTTCGCGTTCACTCATCTAACCACTCCTAAAAAGGCAAAAGCAGGCCTATCCTAATGCCCACCGGCGGGCCCACGGGGGAGTTGGGACAGGGCCCAGGGTAGATAACAAGATGCCACAGTACCAGGCTTCAGAATGGAAGACAAAGTGCTCAGATTCTTGTTTCCTCCATCTACTCACTCCTATAAAGGCACAAGCGGGCCCATCCTAACTCCCGCCAGCGGGACCACCGGGGAAATTGGGAGAGGGCCCAGGGTGGATAACGAGCCGCCACAGTACCAGTGTTTCCCCACTTCTTTCTTCTGTTATGAAGGCACAACGCGTTCTTCTTTGTTTTTTGTTCATGCAAAAGCACACCCTATGGTTGCACAGAATCGATTGCGCAGAATAGTGCTGCTCATGATCTTTTTCTTTTTTTTCCAATGACAGTGCTCCATTCAACAGTTCTGGTCATTATGGCCAGGGGAGCCAGTGCCAGTGGTTTTCTGTCGCATTCACCGTCCGTCCCAGCTGGTCGGTTTGGAGCCCTGGATTTTCAGAAATTTGTCATGCCAGTTTTAAAAGAACAAGTAGACTGCTGCAGCAAAGCTGCGGCTCACGGGAGGGGGTGGAGCAGAGGAAGGGAGTCTGAAATGTGATGCGGGGAAAACATAAATAAATAAATAAAAATCAAAGGAACTCAAGAAACTTTCAAAAATGGACTGACAAAGTGTTTGATTATGTATAGAGCACGTTGTTTCTCTGGTTTCCTGTCTCTCTCTCTGTCTCTGACCCTCCAAAAAAAAAGAACAGCTGTGTTCTCTCTCTCTCTCTCTCTCTCTCTCTCTCTCTCTCTCTCTCTCTCTCTCTCTCTCTCTCTCTCTCTCTCT